AGAGGATGTACACTGGTACTGATAGGAACTGGAAACACTGAGAATCCAGGGCAGATGATCCCTTCAGGACCAGTGGTGAGAGTGGCGATACTGGGAGAGAGGGAAGGTGGGTTGGAAAGGGGAAACCGGTAACAATGATCTACGTATAATCTCCTCCCTGGTGGACAGACAACAGAAAAGTAGGTGAAGGGAGACATCAGACAGTGTAAAATATGACAAAATAATAATTTATAAATTATCAAGGGCTCATGAGTAAGGCGGGAGCGGGGAGGGAGGGGGTGTAAAAATGAGAAGCTGATACCAGGGGCTTAAGTGGAGGGCAAATGTTTTCAGAATGATGAGGGCAATGAATGTACAAATGTGCTTTACACAATTGATGTATGTATGGATTGTGATTAAGAGTTGTATGAGTCCCTAATAAAATGATTTTTATATTTATATAGATATATGACACCAAAAGCATTAGGAACAAGAGAAATATAAATGAGAGAAAATATGTGCTATGGAACTCATCAATTTAATAAGGGTCCAGAATACATATACTAAAAAAAAACAAACTCACTGCCATCAACTTGTTGCTGATTCATAGCAACCCCCTTGTTGGTTTCTAAGATTGTAACTCTTTACAGGAGAACAAAGCCCCATCTTTCTCCCTTGAGCCTCTGGGGGAGATGGGGTGTGTTTCAAACTGCCAACCTTGAAGTTAGCAGTCCAAGGCATAACCACTACATCACTAGTCCTCCTTAGAATACATAAAGCACTCTTACAATTCAGCAACAAAAAGACTAACAACCCAATTTAAAGGACAGAACAACATGAACAGGCAATTCTACAGAGAAAATATAAAAATACCCAATAAATGCACGGATAGATCCTCAACACCATTATTTATTGGGGACAAGCAAATTAAACTCCATCTATTAGCATAGCTATTTAGGGGAAAGGAGGGAACACAGAAATTAAGTGTTGGCAAGCTGTGAATAAATTGGAATTCTCAACAGTGCTCATGGAAATGCAATCTGGTTTAGCCACTATGGAAAGCAGTTTGGCAGCTCCTCAAAACAGTCATATGTTGTGGGGAAAAGAAGGATTTCTCTCAAGCTGTCTCCCCCAAATCCAGACTTAGCTGCGTGAGAATGACCGTACACTTGGAGGTCATCAAGAGTGGATTGGGAGTCATTCTCACTGAGTGGTATCAGCTGTCTAGATCAAGCAGACACCACTGTTTATCCCACAACAAATAAGGCCCACTCCCTTCTGATATGGATAGCAGTTGTCTGTTTACTTGTAGGAGATACCCACCCAAGGATGACCAAGGTTAGGGTAGCCATTATGAATCTAGAGTCCACCCATCTTGTCACATGTGTAATCCTGGACCTTCCCATTCCTATGGGCACACCCCTAGGTCATCCCCTATTGATTGTATTGCCTATGTTGCTACTCCTATGACATAGGTTATTGTCTGCTATCAGGGGTCTTGCATGCCTCCCAGAATAGTAATTGTGTTTTATTGTATGAGACACCAGAGTGATCGAACTTGTTCTAGGATGAATTGTATTGCCCCATTCTGTGATGTGTGACTCTGTAATCAGATCCCCCTAACATGATGTGATGAGTGGTTAGCAATAAATAATGAGGCTCCCGGGTTCTCGGAAGGGTGGCTGAGGAGGACGAGGCAGCTGCTTCTACTCTGACGGCTAAGTCCCGTCTACGAGGACCATCAAGTGGGGCTGAAGTGAGCAATGCTACCATGAATTGCGTCTGACTCCATTACTTGACTCCATCTTTTCACTCTCATGCTCTCTATGACTTAACTATAATCTTTACTTGTTATTACTGTACAATTGCGCCTACCGAACCTGTGATGTTTTGTGGGGTTCCCTCTTCCCTTTAACCCAATATGTGGAATGTTATGTGACCCCAGCATTTTGTACCTACGTATATGTCTTCGAGAATTAAAAATAAGAATTCAAAGAAATGCATGCAAAGCTATTTTCATAGTAATGTTATAAAAGTCAAAAGGGTAGAAAAGACCCAATGTTCACCAACAAATGAATGAATAAACAAAACGTGATATACACAAAGAGTGGAATACTATTCAGCCATACAAAGAGATGTAGTACTCAGACATACTATAATGCAGACCACATGTTCTCACACTCATTTGGTCTATTCAAGTTAAAAAACAAAACTAGTGCACCCCCCGGTGATAAACATTTTTATAATATAGCCCGTGTAGGTATCTGCTTCTGCAGCTTCAGGTCACCCTAGGAGGCAGTATCACCCACTTTGGGAAACACTGGTGTAGATGAACCTCCAGAACATTATGCTAAATTAAAGAAGACACAAAATGCCACATATTTAAATATCTAGCATAAATAAATCCACAAAGACAGAACACAGTAGTTGTTGCCAGAAACAGCAGGTGGAGATGCGGATGGGGAGAAACTGCTTAATATGTGTGTGTAAGGGTATTACTCTTGGAGTCATCACTTTAAAATGTTTAATTTCATGTAATAAAAATTTAATCTCAATGTATTAATATTTGAAAAATAAAAGCTATAGGACACTATTCTTTTTCCTGGCTGCTTTGAATCCTTACAATAAGCAGACTAATACCTCTCCTTTCCCCCATACTCACCATCCAAGTGTATTCACATGTTAGATATGCCTGAATTATTAGGATCCAACAAATGTTTAATTTTCTTCCTTAATTCCTTTTATGTATTTTAGCTATAAACATGTTATTTGTGTATATATCGAACTTTTAAGAAAAGCACCTGAAATTCTTAATTTTTGCACAATAAGCATTGGCCTCCTAGAAGCTATCTACCTAAGTCCAATGACACAAAATTGAAATGAAGGCAATAGAAACAAAAACTTACGAAGGTAGATCTCTGGCAGCCTTCAAGCCCCAGCCTTTCTTTTCTGTGAGTATGACTTCCACATCTGCATGTTGCTTTCTCTGAAATCGTCTGTTAGAACAATAATCACCATTTGGACACCTTGAAGAACTGAAATAAGAAATGAGTAGAAATTAATGCTTCAAAGCAGCAAAAGAACGACAAACATCTTTGACAGAATGTGCTATATAAGTGTGTATCTCTTTCTGGCATTAAGCAGGTGAAAAGATTTGGGGCCTCAGAAACCTAATGGACAGTTCTATTCTTCCCTATCAGGTCACTATGAGTCTAAATTGACTCAATAGCAATGTGTGTGGGTTTTATTTGTTAATGGCATAACCAGCATATGTATGCTAAATCCCCACACGAGTCTTCCTCGCTTTCATTCTTTTAATCATGATGGGAATCCCTCAGAACCGAGTGTCTGAGGATCATCATCACAATACTACCGTCATCCAGCCATCACAAGAAGGCCTATTTCAACTTGCATGTCTAAAACTCGTTTCTAGACTGCCCATAAGCCTCTAATAATTCTGACAACTCTGCAGAGCTAATTTCTTTTCTATCCAGCACTTCCCTTACATTCCATTCTAATCACTATTTCCTTGGGCTTTTGGATACAGCTATTAGATCTACATTTGAAAGAAACCTTGTTCAGAGTAAGGCAATATAACGTGATATGGATTTTCTCCTAGGGACCCTACACAGTAAAAATTAAAAATCAAACATTCACTGAATTCCTCACATTCCAAAGCTGGCAGATACAAAAGCTTTTAGTACTGATTCAAACTACAATTGAAGTTATACAATCATCCCCAATACATTGTTGAATTTTAGAAGCTGTAAAAAACATTTTTATAGAGGCTCAAAAGGCAGCTCCGTCTCCTCTGGTGGTGGAGTGGTTACCAGTTGGGCTGCTATCTGAAAAGGCAGGTTCACTTTAAAAGGTAGTCAAGGAAACCTTTCGGGGGTAATGGGATTAAGGCAGAAACTGTAAAGATGCAAAGGTATGGGTAGATAAGGAGAGCCTGTGCACCAGTAGGAAACAAAACCGACTAGGGACAGGGACTGAAACTAAGCGAAGTATAACTAGTAAGGAAGGCGAATGGAGGACGAACGAAAGGCAGGAAGAAGATTCTGAACATTCTTTGAACTAAGTCCTGAAAGCAACATGAAACTACTAAACGTTTTAAGGGGAGAATAAAATGAAGGAAACAAGGCTGTACTTCAGATCTGTTTCCTAAGGATGACTGCAAAGTTCATAGGAATGCAGACACTCTGGACAGTAATGCCAAGTTAGGGGTAGAGGGCAATTCCTGTGTCTCCTCTTCTCATGTGTATGCCCATATAAACAACACCTGTTTTCTATTACCCATCTGCAAATGTTATTATTACTCAGATACAGGAGAAAGGCTAAGGTTTTCTCTTCATTAAGAGAAATAATTATTTTTTGTGTTAGAAAGAATTCAATAAAGACTGAGCAAAGTAAAACATGCTAATTTATTACTTACCATTCAATCATAAGGAGACGATTAAGACAATCTTCCCCGCATGCTATTTCACCTTGAGCTCTTTCATCTTTAGAAAGAGGTGCACACTCACACTGCATTCGCTTAATATCCCGATGGGATTTATTCTTCTTCCTAGTAAGTAAAATTTTAGTTTTAAAATGGTTAAATAACTCTCCTGGCCACAGTATAATGTCTATTATCAAATATGTACTAAATCCAATTAGTTTCATGATTTTTTTTTTTAGTTTTATGAATCTTCTAAATTAACCATTCTAAAGGAAAATATATCAAATCGCCAGTACCCGTGAGACTGAAAACACTAAAAATTGTATTGCAACTGTTTAAAAAAATGAGACGGGCAACCTTAGACCTAGCAGAGCTCGAGTCTATTATTTTGGAACTCAGCCCTAATTCCTAAGCCCGTGTCAAGTGAGACCCAGAATCTAAGAAATTCTACATGTTAGTCATACTGAGCTTAGGGTACACCTGGTAATCAAAGTCACATTTCAGAATCAGTTCTCATGAGTGAATAAATAGTGAAGGTACAAGACTGAGGAGAAAGAGATTGGTGAAAAAATGTCTTGCGTTGTTTTTAAAAAAAAAAAATCCAATGTCACTTAATAGTTTTTGAGTCACCGCAACCCAAAGTACAGAATAGAGCTCCTTGTGTAGGTTTCGGAGACAATAACTCTTTACAGGAGTCAAGAGGCTCATAGTTCTACCAAAGAGCAGTTGGTGATTTTTGAACTGCTGACCTTGAAGTCAGCAGCCCAACATTAAAAAATATTGAATAGCTAAAGGGGGAAAAAAAAAAAAGAAAGGCAATTAAAGAGGTAAGGTTTCAGAGGAGTAAGTTTTCCCAATACTAACAGACTGACTAGATAAAAGGAAAACTATCAAATTTGATTATGTTCATGAAAGACTATGACAGAATTTGAAAAGAATGAAAGTGTTATTTATTAGCCTATTTGTTGAACTTTTTTTTTTAACCTGTTTTAAAAAAAGGCACAGATGGAGGACTAACATCTCCTTCTTAAAATGCTTACAGAATTATGAGGCACTCTTCAACGAGCAGTGAAGAGTGCAGCTGCTCTAAGCGGCTATCTTAATCTCCTAACCCTAATCTACTGCTTTTATCTTCAACATATGGTTTACTCTAGTTTCAATTTCATGAAGTGTGTTGTGACAGTTTCAACTAAGTGTAGGTACAAAGAATGACTCATACAAAGCCATTCATGAGCATATGGATATGCTCAGTGAGATAGTTTATTGTGAAGATGAATGATGACTAAAGGAAGAAAAAGTATCTAATTACAAGTATTTAAAGAATTTTGATGCAATAGTTTGTTTGCTTTTTCCTATATTGCTCCAGAAAGTTAGATTACGACTAAAGGGGAGATTATTGCAGGTCAGTCTATTTTCATTAAACATAAGGAAATAATTTATACTTTACTTATACTAGTATTGTATCTATATATTTCCCACCCCAAAATAGCCCGTTTCCACCAACCAGAATTTTATGCACATAGTCTTATATTCACCTTAATCTTAATCTCTTAGCTGAATAAATCTGTAGTCTGATTGGTTTTGTTTATGTAAATTCCATCAATCTACTCAAATAATTCTAAAATGTATTCAATCTTTTGAATTCAAACTTAATTTATAACTAGATATTCTCTGCTATCGTTTTAAAAAGAAAAGGGATAAGCTTCTAATGGAACCTAATTATTTAAATCAGTCTTTTTACACATAGCCAATTTCTTTACTTAATAAAAATTGTGAACGTTAAAAGAGATGACCATACTTTGATTCTCAAATGGACCAGGTTTTCAAAAAAGCATAGAAAGGTAAATAAGAGAAAACAAGGGAGCATAAAATGTCTGAAAAAAAGTTGGAAAATGGAGCTAAAAGATAATGGAATTTTTTCACGTTTTAAAATCCCTTCGCACCGGTTTAAAAAGGAGGGCGATGCATTCAACATATTCATTTATTTAAAAGTGCTATTTCAAAAGGGAGGTGAAAGTAAAGTCAACTGAGAAGCTCTGACTCTTAACCTCGTTACATTTGATTTTATGTAAAAGAATTATGGTTAACCATCTTATATCTTATTTCTAAAATATATTATGCTACAGCCAAGTTTAATCTGTTATCAATATGCTAATAATAAAGATAAGGATATTATGTGCTAGTATAGTTCCTGCTTTATAAAGTCCGTAAGATACTTTGTTCTGCACATTTTTGAAATAATGGAGTAGGGAAGGAAAGCAAACCTAACCACGTTTCCTTTTCCTAAGAACAGACTGTTCATAACAATTATGGATTTTAACTTACATTTTATCACACTACATTGTATATGGTTAGATTAATACAGTCTGAACTGTGAAAAAGTTACTTTTTCAAAAATAGGTTAAAATTTGTCAAGTATTAAATTAGGCTTACCTTTCTGTCAAATAAACATTTTCTTCAATAAGATCAAAATAACATGGCATCTTTCCCTGCTTGGCACACTCCTTCCATCGCTGGGGGTCCCTGAAGTCATCCATGACACACGAAGGTCCAAACAGTGCAGAGCCTGGAGGTGCTGCTGTCTCTCCCGGTTCTGCCTCCACTCTAACTTTCTTTCTGTCTTGAAGCTCAGCTTCACTTTCAGAATCACTCTCCAGCTCCTGTCTCCTTTTTTTAAGAGGCCCTCTGTCTTTCATGTCATTTCTTTCTAAACTTTTTGTAAGATCTTTCTTTTCATTCACTGCTAAAGAGTCCTTAATGGAATTGCTGCTTATTTCAGGTGCTTGCACTGATCCCCTGTCCTTCTGCTGAATGGACAGAAGAAATTTGCTGGACTGATTTGAAAAGTGAGATCCACCACGTTGATCCCAATTCTCTTCCTCTTCGCGGTCATCTGTTAGAGAATCTGGTACCTGCCCTTGAATCCGGTCATATACAACTCCAGTTCCAGGTCTGCCTGCCGACCTTGGATCCCAGTAGCCATTGCCTTGCCAGTGACTACGTGTCCCACCATACTGTTCTGCACTTAGATACTTGTGTCCACCACAAGCTCCATAGCTGCTGTCAGGCTGCTGATATGTGGTAGTGGGCTTTTCTGATTGAGTGAAGTCCCACCCTACGTTTCTAAGTTCTTCTGAGGAGTGAAAGCTCTCCACTCGAGAGATCTCACAAGGGGAAGAAAAGCTCAAGTCCGTTTTCCCCAGTCTACTATCTGGCCTGGTAGGAAAAGTGGTCTGTTGGTGGGACTTATTTGGGACATCTTCAAAATCATCAGAATAAATTGACAGCTCCTCTTGCTGCCTTGATGCTATTTTGAATTTTATTGTTTCCGCTGAACCTGGGTGACCTAGGTGGTCAGATTTCACATCTGGATGACTTGTACTATCAACCCCATCACTCTGAGAATGAGCCATTTCAGGCAAGTGATTATCCATTTGTTTTCTGTGAGGGTGCGTGAAAGAACTTTCTGGGTTTTTCTCTGCTCCTTTATAAGCAAAGAACTTGTCTGTTTGAGAAGCTTTATTTGTTATAATCTCAAACTTTTCCTCATATGAATGTCTCCTTGATTCGGGTCTCTCATCTTCCCAGTGGTCGGAATAGTGCCTGTAACTTTGACTGCTCCGAGAAGAAGAAGGACTTGTTTCTTCCATAGGCAAAGTAGAATTCTTTGGCACAACCACAACAGACTGGAGACGGTTTCTTGGAATACTGCTATCATCAGAATCTGTGTCTTCTGAATCGCTGTCATCACTTGAACATGCGGAGGAACCAGAATAATCTTCATGGAGAGTAGACACAATTTCTGGGGCATGGCCACTACTGTCACATTTTAAGGTATAAGTTACATCATCATTGCTTTCCATGGCTAAATTCAAATTGCAAGAAAATACAGCTTCTGAATCATCAGAAGTATGCACATGTCCTCTTTCTCCATCTGAGGAGATTTCTGGTCTTCTATCCGGCAACGTGGAACTCTCTTCTTCTTGCAAACATTTCCCAGATAGCCCATTATTATGCCTGTTTTCCCAGGAAGAAAATCCTCTTCTTGAGTCAGGAAGATCTCTATTTACTTCTCTTGTTTCTTCCCCTGCATGTTTTAAAAACTCTGTGCTTTTTTCAGTTATCAGCACAGCATCCAAAACTGGAGAAGTGTTCTCTCCATACTGTAAGAGAGTTAAAGTGTCCACTTTTATTTCTGGTGAGAGACTCTGAAGAGATGAAGCAATCTCCGAACTTCTTATAGGCTGACATAAATCAGCAATATGATTAACAGAAACTGAACTAGTGCTACCAACACTCTGCTTATATTCTTCACAAGCAAACTTTGCAGTTTGATCTGTCATATTTCTACTATCACTTATAGCTGTTGAATCCAAACGAATATTCATAAAGCTATTGGAAGACATTTTCACAACTGAAGTTTCAATATTTTCAGCTTCAGAATGACACAAGGAAGGGTTGCTGTCATTTGAAGTACAGTATATATCTGAATCTTTGGTTCTGCAGCAAGAAACTGGTTCCTTAACTGCTTTAGAATAATCTATTGCCATATCTGGCAATGTCACAAGGTTATCTGGGTGTGGTGACACTGGAGGTTCTGTTTCTCTAAAAGGGCTTTCTGACTTACTATGATGCATGTAAGTAGCATCCAAGTCTTTTTCTTTACATCTACTAGTATTCTGAAATCCATTTGATGAACGCATACATGCTTTGATCAAAGGGGATACCTCGGATCCAGCCACACTATCATCAGAAGACATTAAAACAGACTCAGTTTTAGAAGTGCAAAATGTTGTCAAATCAGATTCTGCTCCAGGAAATCCATTTACATTTAATTCTATGGGGCAATAAGTTCTTAATTGATCGTGCTTCCCTTTAGAAAGAGAGTCCAATTCCTTAATACTTTCATGGCTATCATGGCCTATAAATTCAGACTTAATAATAAATGATTCATCTAGCTTTTTAAAAGTAGGCGAATCATTTAATTGATTTGATGGTGATAGAGACCCAGTCTTTTCTCTTTCAGGTATTTTATTCATCATTCTAAACTCACTACCTTTTGAACAAGGAGTCTGTAAACCAAAAGAATGAGACTGTTTGATTTCCTCATTGAATTCTGTACAACAGAATACATTTTTAAATTTATCAGACTTCGGTGTAGATTTTGAAGGAGTAGATTTATAATGAGAAGCATTGCTATCATGCTTAGAATACGATGACCCCCGTCGGAATCCCAGATCACTCGGGGGAGTGCAACACCTTTTCATTACTTCATTTTCTGAAGTCCTTTTGGATTCTCTTTCTAGTTTTGAAGAATACTTTCCTCTTTTCTCTGTCTCCGTGTAAGACGATTCAGCTTTGCAATCCCGATCAGATTTAGAATAGGATGATGTCCTTAGGTCTCTGTAAGAGGAGGAATGAGAGGAGGTGCGCCTTGAGTATGTCTTCTTATACTCATCTTCTGAATCAGAACTCTCTCGGGTCCTGCTACCAGTACGTGGTCGAGAATAGCGTGTCCTCTCTCGGTAAGGTGAACTCCTGTGGTAGCGACGATCAGAGTCATAATAATGAGATCGTTCTGATCGAGAGTAAGGCAAACTAGTTCTGGAGCCTCTGTCAGATCTGGAACGAGACCTGCTCCGCCGTCGCTCTCTTTCTGATCTACATCGGGAAGATATATACCGAGAATCCCTTTCAAGCTTTGAGTAGCTGAAATATTTATCATCTCTCTCTGTTTTAGATCGTGACGATTTCCCTAAATCTTCATTTTTTAAAGGTGCTAAACTCTTTTTTGAATCTCTTTCCTTTTCGATGGTCGCTGCAATTTTCAAATCATGTGATCTCTGACTTGAAGAAGTCCGTACAGAATCTTCATCAGACTCTGAACCAAGAAAGGTGCCTTCAGATTGTGAAGATTTCTTCTTAGAGCCTGTTTTTTTACAGCCCAGACTACTTTTAGAACTATCTGGAATTTCTTCATCCTTCCCAATATGGGAATCTTCTTTTTGTGAGGGAATATCTGCTTGCTCATTCAAATTTTGAGTTATGTGTTCTTCTAAACTATTAGATATAGTGTCCTCCTTAGTGTCCACTTCTGAAGATTCTGGTACAACCGTTAATGATGGTTCTTTCAAGGATCTAACTGTTACATCCATGGGTGAGGGCACTGGTGCTGTCATCAGAACTGTTAATGGTGTGTGTGGCAAAACCACTGGCTCTGTTATTGGTGCTGGTGGTGAGGGTAGTGTGGCCTGGGGAGGTGGAGGTGGTGGAGGTGGAGATGGGGGTGGTGAATCTACAGTTGTTGATTCTGCTATAACTGCTGGTAATGGTACTATGGGAAGAGGTGGAGATGTTACTGCTGTGGTAGTAGGCAGCAGTGGCCTAGATGTTACATGAAGCAGGTGTTTCTTAAAATGGATTTTTCCCAATTCCACCCTTGATTTTGGTGGGGAAGATTCTTCTGTAGTAGATAAAGTATCTCCAATATCCACTTTAATTTTAGGGGTAGAATCTGGTTGAAGAGGTGTAGGTGGGGCATTTGGAGTTTCATTTTGCTTCTCATTTCCAAGCGCCGTCAGAAATCGGTTCTGCAAAGTTTTCTTTGTAAGGCTAAAGCTGAAGGACACCTTCTGTCGTCCCTGTTCCTCCAAATTGACTTTTGTCTTGGTGCCTTTGGGCAGAAACCGACTAGAAGCAACACCTTTGAAAAGTGGTCCTTTGATGAAACCCGTTTTCTGTACATTTTCAATCTTTGCCTATAAATGAAAAAAACCATGTGCAACAAAAAAATACTTTCAAATGGTTTGCATCATAATTTGAAAATAACATATTTCTCCTAAGCACATAATATTACATAAACCCTTAAGAACCCACCCTCAGTTTCAACAGTGTCAGTATTTTTCCATTATTATTTTCTCTTAAAGAATTTTACCAGTTTTATCAAACTGTTTTCTAGGTAAATTTTTTATAAGAAAAACACGAATGTGCGTTGATTGATTCCAACAAAAAAATAACATCACAATACTGATAATAGTTTATTCTTATGTTGGGGGGGGGGGCGCAGAACCATAATTAAACATCAGTGAGTCACTGGCATTACACAAAATCACTGGGTGCTTAATAGAAATCTAAATCTGTGATCCAAACTTCAAGCAATTCCAATTCAGTAAGTCTAAGTGTTGTGCTGTTGTTTTTGTTTTTAAAACAAGCACCCCAGACAATATAGGTATAGAGTAGCTTCCCATCTCATTCATTTTACTGAGGAGATAACCAAGTGAGGACCAGGCCTTCTGCCTTCCTAGAAATTATTTCCCCCTAGTATATACTGCTACTATCTTTGCCTGGGCCTAAACCTAGGTTCTGCTGGTAGTACTACATAACCCTGTAACACTAACATGTAGTGTTCACAATCAGAGTTCAGCGCTATGGCAGGTTGATGCTGGGTGTAGGTCCTGGGGAAGGAACTTGACAAACACCACTCTCACTGTTCAAAGTGTCTTTTAATAACTTGCTATAAAATAAATGCCAAACACCAGTTTTGCCTTTTTCTTTTCTTTTTTTTTGGGGGG